CAGGGAGCCGCGGGGCCGCTGCCCGGAGGGGCGGGGGAACCGGCCACGGGCACGGGGAGGGAGAGGGCTAAAGTTGACAGGATACGTTTTAGCTTTGCTGGTAGGAAACACCCGGGGACTGTAGGTCAATAGGGCGGGGAGAAATATTTGCTTAAATGAGATTTCTTTTTTTTTTTTCCCCTTTCTAGTCTTTCTTGGGCTTGGGTAGGAGCAAAATGCTTTGAAAACATCTGTTTCTCACAGTTCAGAAATCTCTGAATGGTGATGTGGGAAGGTCTGGTGAAGCTGGCTGAGCTGAAACGTTAAGAGAGATGTGGGAAAGCCACGGCAGCTAGAGCGCCTTGTAAAAATAAAATAAAAATCTGGGGTTTACAAGGAACAGTGCAGCTCAGATGCATTGACTGAAGATTTCCCAGCCTGCAGTCTTTATGCTGTGATATTGCTCTTGAACTTGTTCTGGATAATGTGAGGTTTTTGAAGATCTGTCTGTGGCATTTCAGTGTTTCCTGTTCTCTGAATGGCCAAGCAAAAATGTCCCAAACAAAACTTGCCTTTTGTTTTGGGTCCTTTTTTTAAAACAAAAGCTTTTAAATGCAGTTTTTTGGTAATTGTGGAACCCGCTCATACATCCCCAGAAAAAGATGACTTTGAGGGTGGGTGGGCTTACTAATTTCCTGAGGCACACATTTGCAGTGCAGGAGCCCTGTTTCCCCAGTTATTGAACTAGAGTCACGCTTCTGCGGTGACAACAGCAAACTAGTTGGCGATGGAGTTTGCCATGATTTCATAAGACATTGATCTTTTTCAGCCTGGGGAGAACACACTACTTCATGCCAAAGAAGTGACTCGAGGTCAATGCACAAAACCCCGCTGTTTTGCAGCCTTTTAAGAAGGAACATGTAACCCGGTTGTAGGGGTAGGGCTGCTAGCAGAAAGGTTGTGATTCTAAATTACTGTGAAAGCCACGACTCTCGGACAGCCTGTGCTTTAACGTGTTGGCCCATGCAGCAGGTTGAAGCAGTATTCAAGCTCTCTGACAGGGCTCTGGTCTTTAAAATGTTGATTCTAACAGATCTAAATCTCCCTGCTGCCTGTCCTGCCTGCAAACATCTCTAGAAGGGGGAAGGGGAAACAGCTGGCTCTTCTCTCTCCTTTTGAAATGTTAACTGTGTTTGCAGTTCTAGTTTACTGGGTTAGTAACAAAAGGTGTTTGTGATACCGATTGCTTTACTTTTCTTGTCTTTGGTAGTAAACTTCGGGCAAAAAGTTGTTAAAGGCTATCTGTTATGCTGTATTTATTAAAGACAACCAGAGGCAGTCAGATGGTGGGGATACTCCCTGGATATAAGCAAGTACCAAACCTGACATTTGATGAGGGATTTGGGTGCCCCAGACTACAGCATCAGTGTGCTGTCGTTGGCAGCTTCTGCCATTAAGCTTGGAGATTCTTTAATGCGGCAATCAGACCTTTGAAGCTCTAACTTCATGTATTCTGCATTGTCAGTGATCATCGTTGCTTCTGGGGAGACACTGTTCATCACAGCACTTCTTGCTCATCTTAGACTTGCAGTACAAATAGGTGACTGTATTTAAGATGGATGTGAAGCACCTTGGAGCCGTTCTCACTGCTGCCCCATAAATGACCTTCCCTTTGCCTTTGGAAATGGTGGCTCTGCTTTTTCCTGGTGACAGAAGGCTGATGTATCTTGATCTTTTGCAACAACAGAGTAGGTTTTGTTGCACCAATAAGAACTGTGCGGTGAGAGACATTGAGAAGACGAGCATGCAGTCTATGCTCAAACAGAGGTTGTGTCAGTACAAGCTGTGTCAGTGCTTTTTGTGCCGTGGAGCTTGGAAGTGATGTGGATGCTTGAACTCCTAAATAGCAGCAATAATGCAGAGCTGAAAAAACCCAAATCCTAGGTCCCCAATGTATCATGAAATAGGTAAATTTCGTGTAACTGGGCATTTCTCTGAAGGATTTTGACAGATAACTCATACTACTCTTTTGCATCAATCTTATCCTGTCTTCTGCAGTAGAGACCTTGATACTGCTTTCTGACTTGTTTCTCTTGGTGAGTTTCTGATCTTGTCAGCTTTGCCCATGTACAAAGCTAGTGGGATCCATCCAGAGAAAGCAACTGACACTTAGTACCATTTGCAGTTTTGCTCCAACTCTGATAGTCCCCTGCATGGACTAAATAAGGACTACTTGTCTGTTCTGAAATACAGAAAAATATGAATCCTAATATAGGAGTGCCTCAGAGCAAGAGTCTGTCACTTGCTTTCAGCCATAAAAAGGGGTAGTTAAGAGCAGTAGACTTGCACAGCCTTCAGGCTAATGGCCTTGATCAGCCAAGAGTGGGCAAGCAAGGCTTTTTGCTGTATCTCCTAAATGCACAAATGCAAAGTGACCTAGTGTAATGGGATACTTCTTAGTACTGCAAAACTGGCCCCGAAAGCAGACTGATAAGAGGGTTCAAATTCTGATGGTCTTCTGATAACTAGAAAGTCATTGAACTCTCCTTAGAAATCAGTCCAGGATTTGCAATTGAGTATAGCTTATTTTCTTTTAACATGGAGTCCATTGCCTCAGATTAGAGGCCCCTTTGAAAGGGTCGTGATGAGGGAAAGCGAAGAAATTTGAGGGAATCCTGCTTTGTGAAATGTCTTTTCTAAAGCAAATGGTCAGCTGCATGCCTTGACTGTGACAAGGTCAAAGCTTTGTTGCCTTTAAACACAGAGCAAAGTCCAGCAGGTGAGTGCCATTACTCCGCACTACCTTCAGCACAGAGCTCTGAAGCTCAGCAGTAGGTGCTGGGAGCTTGGGTCAGGTGGAAACTGAACTCCAGGCTCTGATGCATGGGAGGCTGTAAAGAATAGTCAGTGACTCAGATTTAACCTCGAAGCTAAATTCTGTGTGCTGTATTCTACCCAGGGCCTTATTTAGAGGACATTCCTTTGCAGTAGTTCAGCTCAGTCAGTTCTACCCCAACCTGGGGCACGCGGGGGACTTGTTGCCCTAAGGGGCACCAGGAGGGTGGGAAGCACTAACAAGGTGTAGGAAATGCTTTTCATTGAGCACAAGGAGAGAGATGTTCTGATCTGCTGGACTCGAGGAGCTAGCTACGAGTGCATTAAGTACAGCCCAAAGAAAAGGGTCTGTGGTTAAAAGTAATCTATTGTCAGCATAACTTTATAGCGCAACACTTTACACCCTGTTCTAGGTAATATTATGTGGCTGCAGAGTGGCTTCAGGTGAGAATATAAAACACTTTTTACTTCAGGGTAGCCAGAAACAGGGAAGATGGATTTAAATGGATGCACCATATCAGCTTCAATAAAGAACATGTCCCTCTGCCTCTTAGAAGAGTTGCTCTTCTGAGCAGGCTGTTGGTCATATCCAAACTTTTCATTTCAGAACAAAAGAAACTTAATTTGAATGTCAAACCTTTAATCGCAGTGTGTTAAAAATGAAAGATTGAGTGGGTTTGTGTCTGTGCTAAGCTCCTGTTAAAACTCTCATTTAAGTTTTCTGTCCCTCCAGCTTCTCCTCTCTCCTGTCTCCTGCAGTTTTGCTCTTCCTTCTGCATTTTTTTGTTTTACTGCCCTCTTTTTCTTTCTTTCCTTCTTTTTCCTTTTCTTGCTATCCTTCCCTGAGTCTTTGATTTGTTACTGGCTCAGTCTGATGAAACTCTTTGCTGTAAGATTAACAAAGTAAGCTCCTCTTGACAGAGTGGTGGTGACTGAAGTGCAGTGAAGGGAGTTCAGCCAGCCACCTTGTACCTCTTTGCTAGCTGGTCAGAAACAGAGCCTTAACTGGAAGTTAGGCAAACCGGCATTATTACAAGGGCTGTCAACAGCATGTTAGTAAAAGTTATTTCTTCATTAGGTAAAAAGTGATATCTGATAGTGCTTTTTATAGAAGGTGCTGACACTGTGTTACAGCAAGCTGCAGAGCTTTGCTAAGGAAACTGGTACCTCTGTGCTGAGTGGTAGCAAGAGAGTGATCTGCAGTAATATATTCAAGCCCATAACATTTCCTAATTTGAACATATTTTATTTAGTGTTGCAGACTGAACCATGGTTACACTGTGTAAAGCGTAATGGCATGCATGGCCAAAGCAGTTCCGTCAAAATTGAGGCAGAGGAGAAAACAATAGTAAAATTAAGGGTGTCAACCAAAGCTCGCTTAGTTTCCTGGTCCTTCCTGAATGAGAAATATGAGGAAACTGTTACCTTCCCCAAATATACTCCTTGGGTGAAGTCCATCTGTTGCTCATTAGCTGCATCTCAGTAAAGTCAAGAGGATCAAGTGTACTGGTCTTCTGTGGGCAGTCTCTCTCTCATGCCAGAGCTGTGCTCGGCTCTTTCTCCTGGCAGGTTCACAAGCAAGCAAATGGCTGTGGTGAGGTTTGGGAGAGGTGTTGTTATTTTCTTCCAGTTCTATTAAGAGAAAACTGGTAAGCCTGTGACAGGAACATATCTTCCAAGTCCTGTGTTTTCCCATCTGCAGGCTGAATCAGGAGTCAGAGTAGGTCATAGCAGATAGTTGTTGGAAGGGACAAAAGAGTTGATGAAAATGCTGCTCAGTTGAGCAAGCAGGATTAACACGACAAGGTGAATACTGTTAGCAAAAAAAATCGCTCTTTTTGTTAGTGTGGATATGTGTTTTCCCACACCTGCATTACACCCTCCTGACAGATAGTCCTGCGTTAAGCATGTCCGAAAAGCATGCCTG